GTTTTCATTTTGTCAAGAATGACTTTTCTCTTTCCAATGCGCAACACGACTAAACTGGTTTAGCGACGTGGCCCGGGTTGCTCGAAGCATGGTTAGTGCTAACCAGCGTTAAAAACCATGGAAACCTATACATTTTGATACCTCTTAACCAACGGTTAGCGCTAACCAGTCTTCGAGCAACCGGCCCCTGAAACGATTAAAAAACCCGACGTCATAAAGTCGTCATAAAATGTTTTCCTGCGCGCGTAAAGTTTATGGAACACTCCTTTATCCTCCTATGAATTGCATTACATCATAGTTAATTGAGTGGAATGGTTATGAAACCCGTCAGACTCCTTTGTTATATGTTTTTGTGGACCTGAAAGTGCACAACGTTCAAAAGAATTCCTATCATTTTGATTGTATTGACCAATAAAAACGTTGCATTAATTTATTCCGTAACAATTTGCCAACAGAAAACAAAGGATTGTGCACTTTCACGGTGCTTTGAACATAAACTGCAGCACTGTTGTTTTTATCACTGATGTTTGCCGCTTTTCACAACCAGTCGCCTATAATAACTATGATTACATTGACATCAATTGCAACTGTTCATTTTTTTGGTTTTCGAATTGAGAGGAATATGGTTAAGCCTCGGTACTCATAAGTATAGGTAAGTACATAAATAAGCTCTCTGTTAATTCCAATAACAAACCTTCCGGATTTCATATTGACAGTTAGATAAAATTGAAAAGACACCTGTTAATAAAACAGCATTTAAAACTTTCAGTCCTGATTTGAAGAAGCACATAGGAGTGACCATGATTCCTTAGCAATCTTGTTTTACGTACTGGGTGGGAGGAGATCTGTCAAAGGGCCCTCAGTAGAATTTGTGACGCTCTTCCACAACTTATTATCTGAGGCCTCTACAAGGCTTAAAAGGGGCATGGCCTCCTTAAGAAAGCCAAAACGAACTGCCCTTTCCTGAAACTTATAATTTTAGAAAGATACTTGTCATGACTTGAAACTCCCCATACTGAAATGCCATAGGTAAAAAGAGGTCTAATCGGACTATGGATGTGATTGTTTTAAAAATAAGTCCAGACTATAGCCATACTTCTTGCACACTCACAATATGTGCACACTCCTTCCTGCCCTGCCGAGAAGAGCATCGATTTACTTGTTGTTTACTTGTTGTAGGATTGCTGTGAAAGTAAAAGCCTATTAAAAGGTTAAGAAATACTGCCTTGTTGATATCTAGAGTAAAAAAGAACAGTATCCTTTCTTCTTTTACAAGGTTTTTACGTACAGTCTCCCTTTATCAAATTATTTACAAAAAGTGTACACTAAGGTTCAAATCAGTCTCCCTTTTCTGATTTACAATGTTTTTCCAGTACAGGGTCAAATCAGTCTCTCTTTTTCTTTTCCCAAGGTGCTTACTCGGCGAAATCAGTGTCTTGATTTACATGATGTTTACACTTTACTTACATGTTCTTAGAGGAAAGATTTACAGGCTATTTACAAAGATACTGTAAATATGTGTAAAACATTTTACACATTTTTACATGGTCTCCTATCCATTACTGCCCAAGGACACTTGCTGTAAATGTATGTTACAGTAAATTTACATGGTGAGGGAAACTGAAAATTGATGTAAATTTTATTTTACAAATCCTATCATGTAAATTGGAATTTACAAAACACGTAAATTGTATTTTACAGGGTGTAATTTCATTTTTACGCGTGCCTCTAAATTTTCAACTTTTTTAGGGAAGAACAATTAAAGATCCAATTTAAGAAAGAAGGAAAACTTTACGAGCACTGATAAAAAGTCCGTCTATCTTGGTCAGCTCACGTGAACTTCGAAACCCTACGACAGATTTTTCCATAACTTCAGCAAATAAGCCTCAGGAGCTCTTCAGTTTTAAATCTGCAAGTTGGAAGTCAATCGTGACCAGAGGACCCATAGAACTCGCTGCACAAAATCCTGGTCAAATTTAACCTTAAAAATGAAACGCTAACACATTAAGTTTGTAAAAGTTGACGCACAAATAGAGGAAGAGGGCCCACGGACTATCTCCTATCTGTAAGGATATTCTGCAAAGAAACTGGGTAATCAGCAACAGGCGTTCAGATAGCAGAGCGCAGCGGTAATTGGGGAGCGAGTTAAGTTGCACACCGAGAAAACGGGGGGAGAGGGGGGAGGAACGGGGTGGAACGAGAGCGAGAGAACGCCTGTAAACATTGTTAACAAAGGGTAGTTCCGGTATACTGGATTCCAGTATACCCTCTTATTGGTCGATTATGACACCTTCTGATAACAATCAAGCACTAGTGACATTGATGAGGAATGCGATAGGGAGGGAGAGAGACGTTTGTTATCGAATCACGCGGACATCGAAGCTACTATAAACAATGCAATCGAGCATTTCCCGTATTTTGGAATCAAAAAGAAGAGCAAAAAATTTGCTTGAATCTCGTTCGCTGAGGCCAGGACGTTTTCGCCATTCTTCCAACGGGCTCTTGGAGACCTTCACTTTTCTACTCTTTCCACGAATAATAAACGTAATTAAAGGAAAAGTTGGCGAGTCAATTTCCACGATCATCATCGTTGCGCCTCTCGCAGCCGTAATGAAACCAAGCTCAAGCGATTTGGAATAACAGCGACAACAGCCATAGGTTGAGGACAGGAGGAAGGCATGGACGAAGACACGCCAATGTCAGGCAATGTGAAAGGAAAGTGTGCGTGTAAGATCATTTCTGGAAGTCCAGAACGGCCAAAAAAAAATCTTATTTGAAAGGTTATTTAGCCGCGATAAAAAGATGCTTTTTAAAACAGAGGTCAAAGAAAATCAGTACTTAACTGCATCTGGAATCAAATCTTTCAGAAACAAACCGCAGGAAATAATTGCCCAGTATGCATGGCTGAGCTAACTCAACGGTCACGTTTCACACCATCATGAGCTTATGGGTCGCGTCTAGCCTGTCAGCACTTTGTAGTTCATGTCACAGTTGCGCGGTCGGCGGTCAGTTAAGGGCGGAAAGAGCTCTGTAAGGGAATGTTTACAGGCGTTCTCTCCCCCTTTCCCCCTCTAGTCTCCCCTCGTTTTTTTTTTTTCTTCGTGAATTTTTTCTCCCGCGCTCTACTATCTGAACGCCTGGAACAGGCTAATCAGCAACCTACGGCGAATACAGTTCGCAATAGAACCATAACATTCACAGCTCTCACATTTATAGTCATTCTAAAAGAGGTTCCCTTCAAAGGCTGAGCACTTAACCTCGTTTTGATACAGAGACCCGGGAGAACTCGGAAATGGCCTATTTGTGCTAAAAATAGCAGATCTGACTATACGAGGAACTGATAAAATAACATTCCCCATTTGCGCACTTCTCATAGTACAGCTTGTTTGCCCTAAAAGTTACATAACCTTTGTTTTGAACCTCTCCTGGGTATTACAACTTAAAGACAATGCTTACCGCAAATGATCTAAAAGACGCCCGGGGCGTTTAATTAGTTTTAGGGGTCCAAGCCAGGGCGTTTAATAGAGAGAGGTGTTTATTCCAATAACTGTAAAAAGCTCAGCACAACTCAGTAATATGCTTCCGGCGAAAATATCAAGACAGTTAAAAAATAGGGGAATATCCACTACATCGATACGTCTGGGCCGTGTAGAGATCCCCATTGCTTTTCCAAATCCCAACATCGATTTCAGAATCCTCACTTAGGGTTATTGTGTTGTCATCGTTATTACAATTATCCTACCAGAAGCCATAATCGGGGTGGGAGACTGTAACTGGACACCTTTTCCATTAATGTGGTTGGTTCCATCTAAATAGTTCATAGTCTAATATATTGTCAATTCAAATTTTTATTTCACTGACACAAAATATGCACGATTATAGGAATATAACAACCGTTCGTTCTAAACAATATGAATACAATCACATGTAGAAGAGAAAATGAATTATATGTTCAAATAATTACAAATTCAACATTATTAAAGCTTTAGAGGGGGAAAAGGAATTTGAAAAAAAGAGGAAATGTGAAAGAACTTTACTTAATACTTGTTGTTGTTTGTGTGGAGTTTGGGACACCAATTAATAAAACTAATCGAGTAGATGCCCCAACGAAAATAAATATGAGAAAAAGGAATCCAGTGCAGTGATATTGATTATGATAAAAAGTACTACTTCAATCATTTACTAACTTATGTTTAATTGACATTGTCATAAACTATTTTAAGAATTAATGGCACTACTATACCCGTCAATCATTTAAACTTATTATTTTGAGGAAATCTCGAAAAATGAGTAATTTGTTTAGCGTGAGCTGGTAGTGCATTCCAAACTTTTGCACAGTTATAACGAAGGGAGCGAATACCATATTGTCTAGTTTGAGTTGGGCTTAAAAACAGATCTAGGTTAATCTATCAAAATGTAGAGAAACAAAGGACAGAATAGCCCGCGTAGCAGCCGCTTGGAAGTAGTGAGCGAAAGAGAGAACGGGCGCGAGGGAGACACGTGAGGTCTCGTTCTCACGCGCCTGTTTTTTCTTGTGCCCACTACTTCCAAGCGCCTGCTACGCAGGCTATGGACAGAAGATAATGGCTTGAAAGAATCAGCAAAACAAGAAGGACGTATCTTGTGAAACCATTCATAAATAAAAGAAAGAATTTCAAGATGGATTATATCACAAAATTTTATAATTGAGGGATTTAAACAAAGGTTTTGAATCATGAGATGCGGTTTTTAATATATTATAGTTACGTTTAGTGCAATTTAGTCATGTTTATGAGTTTTATCTCTATTTTTGTCTATTTTGTTTTATGTTAAGGTTTGAAATTTGTTAGTTAGAGCTCAATATGTTAAGCAACCCGCCTCGATAAGCTTGTCGTAGGCTATTTGCGCGCTTCTACTTCCAGTAAGTTATTGTTAGTAAATGAATGGGAATAAATCATTGTTAATATATTGTTATAATTTCTGTCATCGTGGTGATTTTAATTTTGGTTTTCTTTTTCTTCTTATGGAAAACAGCGAAAGTGCGAGATCTACGTGGAGAAAATGTGCAATCGACTTCACCAGCTGGTGAACGTCAGGGACAAAATTCACCAAGGCAACTGAGGGAGATACAGCTACGTGAAGAAAATTTGCAGAAGCAGTTATTGGAGACGAGACAACGTGAAGAACGCACTCGAAGGGAGATGCAGCAACGCGATCGAAATTTGGAGAGGCAGTTATTGGAGACGAAGAAGCGTGAAGAAAATTTGCAGAGGCAGTTATCGGCGGTAACGCCATGTGAAGAAGATTTTAAGGGACAGTTACAAGAGATGCATCAAACCGGCGTAAACTCACAAAGGCAGTTGCGAGAGATACGGCAACGCGAAGAAAACTCGCAAAGGCAGTTGAGGGAGATACGGCAACGCGAAGAAAACTCGCAGAGGCAGTTGAGGGAGATACGGCAACGCAAAGAAAATTCACAAAGGCAGTTAAGGGAAATGCAGCAACGAGAAGAAACCTCACAAAGGCAGTTGAGGGAGATGCAGCAACGCGGTACAAACTCACTAAGGCCTTCGAGGGAAATTCAGCAACGGCTGGAGAACTTTCAACAACAGGTGTCCATCTTAGAAAGACAGGTGAGAGAAAAAGACCAGGAAGTTAATGAACTAGAGTTAAGTCTTTCGTCAGCCCAGCAAACAATAAATGACCTACAACGACAGGAAGAATGCGACTGGGTCATTTCCCGCGATGAAATTCAAATGACCAACAAATGCCTTGGCAAAGGAGGCTGGGGAAGTGTTTATGAAGGTGTGTATTGTGGCTGTACTGTAGCAGTGAAAAAAATGCATGATCTGATTCTCTCCCCTCATAACATACGTCTTTTCGAGAGAGAAATGAATATTGCATCCAAGTGCCGCCATCCTCACTTGCTGCAGTTTATCGGCGCCACCAACGATAAGGGAAACGCTCTGTTTATTAAGGAGTTGATGGAAGAAAGTCTAAGGTCTCTGTTGGAACAACGTAAGCTCTCTGAAACTGAAATACGTACCATTTCTTTGGATGTAGCCCGCGCACTGAACTATCTTCACCAGAAGAAACCAGAACCCATCATTCACCGGGATGTCAGCAGTGCGAATGTGTTGCTATGGCGACAGGATGACCAATGGAGAGGCAAAGTGTCAGATTATGGCACTGCTAATTTCATGCAGCAGACCATGACGGTGGTTCCCGGAGCTATGATTTACAGCGCCCCTGAAGTAGTTACATCGAACCAGACAGTGAAGGTTAGTTTCACTGCATTTAGAACTTTTAAATTCAATAGCGTTTAACCAACATCTTTTGGACTTAGAAGAAAGGCGCTAATGCGTTGATCTTGAGTGCTTAGGACTTTAAGGCCTGGTTGGTCGTTTACTCGCACGAAAGAAACCCTACTCCACTATATCCTTCTTCAGCTAGGTGTACAGTAAGAAGTAGCAAAATAATCTTGATTATTATGGTTATTTTCCACGAGTTTATGCCACGAAAACAAACTTAAGCTGCATTCGTGTGCTGTGATTTAAATTTTGACAGCTAAAACTGATAGAGTCGAACCTTTTTACAACGACCTCTTTTGAGAGGAAGTGATAACGTCACCGCTCAGAAAGGTGCCCGTTATAAGGGGGTTGGGGGGCGGGGTTGGGGTGTGTAAAGTGACCCCTTGTGTATTTATTTTTGTTTCTTGGCAGTGGGAGGAGAAGTTTACCACACCTTTGTAAAAGACCATCCTTATCTATACGCACCACGATCAGAAAGCAATACCGAACCAAAAAATTTCCATAAGAACGATGTTAGCAAAACAAAATGAGTAGGGTATAGAGAGTTCATTCAGCTGGGGCGCAGTTTACAAGCTTTTGTAAAGAGGGTAATCAAGAGTAATTTATCCTCACTGCATGTCTGTTGTCGCATCACGGCAAACTAAGTTCATTGTTATGAAACTAAATTATGGGAAGAATCCACGACGGCCTTGGCAAAGATATGCAGCTAGGTCTGATGATGTGGTAACTGGCACCAGGGAAGTTGGTAGGTGCGAAAAGCGCCTCCCGTAGGCGCAACTTCACATCAGGCTTTCCAAATTTATGGCAGAAGACTGCAAAGGATTATAATCGTCCCCGATTGCCGAGAACTCTGAGACTGGTAGAACGCAGGCATGTCCCCGAAACGCTCTTATTACTTGTGCGGTGAGAATAGTTGCCTTAGTCTGCACTACACATTTTAGGAGGTGCGAACAGGAAGTACAAAATGTATATTTACAGTGCGACTACTGTAATCGCGACCTCTTAGACAAAGTTGACCAATCTTATTACGGGAAAACAACACTACATTCCAAGAAAGTTGGTTGTGAGCTAATCAGCAGCTCGTAAAAAAAAAGACAAGTTACTCGAAGCACAAAATTAAATATTAATAGCAAACGTTTTTCAAGAAAGTAAAATGTGTGACCATACAATGTTTTTCCATTCGAAACTTTGCATACGACACCCAGGAGACATATATCTTTGACACAAACAGTTGTTTTGTCATCTACCAGCAATTTCTTCGCGGCTATTTCCGTGCTTTGCAACAGCATGCGACCGTAAGTCAAAAATATATTTATCGTTTACGTTTTTTGCCTCCGTTACTCACTCTAATGGACCTCTCGGGAAACAAGTGTTTTCTTCAGTGGGTTCAAAAGGTCACGTCGGTTGGTGGTAATTGGTTGATTTCGATTCATGTTGTTTCTTTCGTTTCGTGGTAATTTTGATTGACAACTAGCTTTCTCGGAATGTATTGTTATTTTTCTATAATCTGATTGGTCTACTTTGTCTAGGTGGTCCCGGTTATAGTAGTCGCACTGCAACAATTATTGAATAAGGCTTGAGTGTGATGTAAAGAACTATGCAGATCGAGGAGAATGTAACCGAGGTGGATAACAGCCTCCTAGGTAATTCTTATCATTATACCAATAATTGCTATTGTAAAAAGAATAATGATGGATGCTTTAAGGCAAATAACAACGAATAATGTGTGTATCGTTCATAGGTTGATGTTTATAGCTTTGGTGTTCTTCCTTATTTATAACTATATATATATAATTAACCTTTGGTCGCAATTAATCGGCCATTGGCAGCCTTGTATTGATCATCAATAGGAGACCAGCTCAATCCCAACTGTAAACGCTTACTGTCTAAAACAGTAGTGGTAGTGGTAGTGAATTATTTTGGTAAAAGTACGTTCCTTAAATGAAAATACATATTATATACAGCTTTTAATTTCCTTGCGCTGACACGGAAAGTTGTCCGGTATATTGTGAAGACTGTGAACGCCTATCCGATATGTAACTCACTCCCCACTCTAGGGATCGGCGAGGCGCAGTTTCGCTCCGTTACAGAAATCGCGCCGAAAAGAAATCACGGTTCTCATGTGTGAACGGAAGCCCTATCCTGTATGGTTTTCGCGCCGGCGCTAAAACTATCCGGTATTAATAGTAATGTGGACATTAAAGCCAAACTTACGCCGTCTGCCGGACAAGTAGAATCCGATGCACTAACTGTCCTGCGAGCAAATGCGTCTGACTTTATGTCCTTTGGCCACTCGATACGGCACTTTAGAGACTGTTCCATGCTGATGCGCATGCTAACCATGTGGAGTTGTTTCCTGCCGCATCTCGCTGGATGATTACTTGTTTGGCTGCGGTTGGATGTTTCCATGACTTGTTGATCATAATCGAAGAGTCAGCTTGTGGTTGGTTTGCATCAACTATGTCCATTTGTTCCTCGTCCATTTCCGTCTGTAGAAAAGAGAAAAAACCGTAACTTCCCCTCGAAATATGATGTCCGTCTCGGAACGAACGCTAATATTCTATCAAAACGGAAGGTCGCTTGCAACTTTTTTAAAAGGCCTCGTTTACGTTGTGAAACACTGGCAACGTTTGCTTTTGTTTTTATATTGCATTTCTTTAATTTGTTATAAATTAACTTCATTTGTAAACGTTTTTCCAGGCAAATAGGCTGTTGTAAAACTGCTGATTTTGTTAACGGAGACAAGCAAGCAAGCAAACATGTTTTGTCACGGAGACAAGCATATAAATCGACGACAGGTGGATTTTGATTAAAGCGCTCTTGCTTCCAAAGCCTTCAACAACAGTAAAGCGTCGATGGAACGGTTCTTCAGCGACGTTGATTCCTGCATTTGAAGGCAATAAAAAGCGGATAAATATTTTAAATTCATTTCAACCACTCAAATGCGGCTGATCGGTATAAACCGTGTGAAAGTGTGTGCTAATACTTAAATTCAGCCTTAAAATCCCACGGCTACAACTAGATTACAACAAAGCTATTTAAAAGCTTTGAAAAGTGCTTTAAACTTTGTGGAAACAAATATCTGAACTTGACGTCGTAAGTAACTTCGATTGCGCGCGCCAGAATCGCTTCCGATCCTTAGAAACAAGTAACCAAGGAAACAAAATCATCCAAACAAATAACAATTCAGTTTCAACTGGTTGAGGCCAAGAAGAGAAAATTTCGCGACAACCAGATAATACAATCCTAAACAAATTTAAGGAGCACTAACACTTTCGAATGAAAAGTTGGCGCAGTAGTTTGATAACTTGAAGGCAAAAGCAAAGTTAGTCTGGGAAAATAAGGATTTTCGCGCGTGCCCTGTACTTTTACCACAAGCTTAAGTCACCGAGGAAAATAACGCGAAGAGAACAGACGCGAAAATAACACAAGTTTTACCTTCCTCGCTGAAATTTCCCGAAGCAGTCGAAGTTCCTAACATTGTTATAGGAGGTAGATTAAAAACATTCATTTTGTCAACATGACTTTTCTCTTTCCAAAGCGCAACACGACTAAACTTGTTTAGCGACGTGGAACGATAAAAAACAGGACGTCATAAAGACAAAATAGAATGATTTCCTGCGGGCGTTAAGTTTATGGAACACTTCTTTATCCTCCTATATATTGCATTACATTGACATCCATTGCAACTGTTCATTTTGTTAATAACAATGACACGTGAAACGTTACTCTAAAGGCTACGTTTACGCTAGAGTCGATTTTTCCGGATTCGTCAAGAATATGGAAACTTCAGATTACCGGATTCGTTATATCGTTTACATGCAGATCTCTGACGCGGGGCACTGCCTGACCTTATTTGGCCCTATAAGTGGGTTTGTACCGCTGAACAGGGTATGGTTTTCTTTCACAATCTTGAGTGTTAAGCAAGGTATACATAAATTATCGTTCTTGAAAGGAGTGTCTTTTTGGACCGGAAGCCTTTCGAAAGAATTAATGCCACGGTTCGCGATGAGTTCAGTCTATGTGCTACCAACAATTTTTATTCCAAAACAACTAATTTCATAATGTTATTTTGAAAAATATTTCTATTCTGTGTGCAAGAAAAAGAACTAATTAGGGTCATACAATAGGGCCTCTTTTCTTTAAACAGGGTTGCAAAATGAACGATTTTTGCCTTCAACCGGGGTCAAGGCTTGAAGGCGCGCCTCGGCGGCACACCTCTACCAAAACTTCCCTTGACTTCCTCACAGAACAGAGAGTCTCAATGGGGTGGTAGCTTTGCAATTGATGAATGTCGGTTAATTTGTACCAATTTTGATGGGCGACAGTCAAATTTTGAAATAATAAATAAATGAATAAATAACTAATAATTTGGAGGTAGCAGGTCCACAAAGTGGTTCTTCGTCTGGCCTGATTCCTAGTCGAATTGGAATTTGCAATTCATGGAGTTTTTGGTTTTTGAGGAGAGGGGAAAACCGGAGTACCCGGAGAAAAACCTCTCGGAGCAAAGGAGAGAATCGACAACAAACTCAACCCACATATGGCGTCGACGCCGGGATTTGAACCGAGGCCACATTGCTGGGAGGCGAGCACTCTCACCACCGCGCTATCCCTTGCTTCCCAAAACCAAAAACTTTTAATGGTTGACGATTATTGAGAATCGTTATTGAGTCCAAAAGTTAAATTAAATATAAACTTCGTTATCGCCCCTGCAGAGTGAAGGCGAAATCTCTAGTAACTCGCGCGTATATTAAGGAAACTACTTACAGTTGAAATATGCAGTCAGTATGCCAGAAAAAATCTCAATTTGCTTGAGCAGGGGCCGCGAGGAATCGGTAGGTAATGATGACGTTTCTATTGTTTGCGCCCGCAAGCACGAAATGGTTAAGATGACGTAAAGACAGAAAATCCCGAAGGGACAACTTAGGTCACAGGGTCCTGAGCAAGAGAGGATAAAGGGGACAGAGAAGGCATCCCCCATATACACCCTATTCCATAGGTAATTCGTCTCGAGT